GCGGCAGCGGCAGCAGCAGCAGCAAAAACCAAAACCTGCGTCCGCTGGCGCCAGCACGGCTGCCGCGGCAGCTGCAGCAGCAGGGGCACGAGCAACGGCGGCAGTCGCAGGAAGACGAGTGGCACCGAGAACAATCATGATGACGAAGGGCATGGGAATGCGCGCAACCTTGCATTAGTTACATCTTCTTGCAGGTGCCAGTATGTTGGAGTGAAGCCATTCACCCTCGTAGCATCTGAAACGTCCTGGCCCCCTCACCGTGAGCCTGCTCCATGTCCGCGAGTCAGACGCAAGTAAACCCTTGAGAATTCGACCAGTTCGTCCGGCGGAGGGCTCTGAACCTTACTTTCTAGGGTTTATGAAGTTTAGGGTTTCATCCAGTCTGAAACCTGCCCCTCGCTGAACCTAACATTCCAGGGTTTAGGGTTTAGGGTTTCATCCAATGTGAAAGTCCTCAAGTACAAGTTTTATGATTGGCGGGCATATACCTAGTTGTCCAGTATCTAGGACTGTGCCATTGTGAACCGTTTTGTTAATCTTGGGTATAAAACGACCACTAAACGTTACCCACCGGACAAGTAAGCGTAAGCAGGCCCCGAATTAACAAGTCGATGCTGAGAAGCGGCTAGCTCCAGGGTTTAGGGTTTAGGGCGTCGCGCCAAGAATCCAAACAACCCCCGAATCAAGGCCATTTTGGGCTATATTTCCACTAACAGCTACTAACAACTACAAGTATCATAAAGGCTGACCTCGCTTCATTTCGCTATAACTTTCCCAGTTAAAGGATCCCAAAACGGAGCCTCTCACAATCCCTAGTTTCCCCAATGTAGCAGTGGATCATCTTTTTTGGGGGGGGCATCATGTTTTTTGATCCTCAGGATTTCTGGGAATCCCTGCCACGGGGATGGCAGGCTTGGGCTAATGTTACAGAACTCAAAAAAAACTTTACCAAAACGGGTTCCTTTAAAGGGGTTGTAGGGGTCATAGAGGATTTAGGCCTCTTAAGTTTCTATAAGGTGGATATGTCATACATACGGTTTCTTTGGTATGTGGTAGTTTCCCAAAATAGGGGGACCCAATATAAACCCCAAAATACTATGATCCTTAATATAGGGACCCCCAAAATGGTACCCCTAATTTTCGGAAACTACCATGATAACCTCGTTCAAGTTCCGTAACAGCAGCCCAGATCGGGTTGGATTGTGCTTTCGCTGGGCTGTCTTGCAGGGTTGCCATAACATCGAACCTTTATCTGAGCTAGTAGAAGTTTACAGCTTCTGGGCTGTATGTGTTACGGTTGAAAGTTTAGGTGTGGTAGATCCCCATCCTTGTTACGGTGTTCCAAGAAGAGCCCCAACTTGTAGAAAGCCTTTCCAGGCTCCCAGGCACCTTTCCGAGATGCTGGGATCGTCGCGGATCCTTCAGAATGCGCTACACCCCTAAACCCTAAACCCCACACCCCTAAACCCTAAACCCTAAACCCCACACCCCTAAACCCTAACCCC